ATTTTTTGTGTGTACTGTCAAATCAGATCTGACTGATACAGGAGGAGATTGTTCCTCCTTCTCCAGCAGAGCATCTAGTGAATTCGAACTGTGCATCTCTGAGATTGCAATTGCAGCTTCTTGCCACTAGGCCACCAGAGATTGCCAGATCTTTTGTTTATAGGGTCACTATGAGCCATACCACGGCCCTTGGGCCTGTCATTGTTTTTGTTCAGACATTCCTCTAAGTCGTATAGCCCTGGTGTACAAGTTGCCATACCGTGGTCACTTGTGGTTGCTGTGAGGCTGAACACTGTGACACTGATGTGTCAAATGCATTAATGGTTGGCTACCCAGTGCCGACAGAGAGTGGGGTGGAGCTCCTCGATGAAAACAAGCTTGGAAGGAGGAGTGGCATCCACTTCCGTAATAGCTTGCCTCTGGAAACCCTATGAACCTGGAGAGAGGATGAAAGGCACCCAAGCGTCAAGGACTCTCCTTCATAAGGTTGTGACTTGACGGTACTTAACAATATGAGCCGTACTTGATGGCACTTAACAACTTTCCAGCTTCCAGCCTTACTGAAGAGTTTAAAAGGACATTTCTATTTTTGAAGACTTTTTTCCTAGTTGACTTTTTCCATTTAACTTTTAAAAACCAGCTATGGCCAATGAAGTACAGTTTTCATCACATAAACCGAAACCACCAAACTGCTGGGCTTTGAGTTGGCTCTGCTTAATGGTGACCCTCCCTGGGCTCTGAGCCTTCGTAGGAAACTGCCTAGCTTTCTCCTGCAGGGTGGCTGGTGGATTTGATTGGTGCTCACTGCTATGGAGTCGGAACAGTTGACCCTGCAGTGAGTTTTCAGAGGCTAATATATCGTATGGCTGGAGACGGTACACCTTTCTCTCACGGAGCAGCTAGTAGATCTGAACCATTCACCTTTGGGTTGGCCTTGCAACTCCTACCACTGAGCCCCCAGAACTCTCAGCTGCTTGGTTAGTGGCCCTATACCTTACACACCACGCCACCAGGACTTCTGCATGTACAAAAATAGAGCTTCCCCCTGGTCGCCTCCCTGCTGCAACTCCACAGTGGAGACCACCTCAGACACCCCCGCCCCCCAGGCGGGCTCCCTTCCCTTTTCTTGGCTCAAGAGTCCTCTTTGCTTAGCTAATTTGCCTGTTGTTAGCCCTGGCTTGGGAACAGCATCCCTCTAGAGGCCTTTCTGGAAACCCTGGGGGGTCCCTGGCAGTGGCTTCTACCACAGTGCTCTTAATTTGTAAATTACTCAACGTGACTGTACAGAAAAGCATTAACTCCTGAAGGAAGTGGGAAAGAAAGTGTGCGGAGGCAGCCTAGGCTGTCCTGGTGCTGGAATTCCGACGTAATGTCAGATAGCCCTCCCTGTGCCCAGGTGGCTCCCTGGACCCATCTCCGGGGGTGTCTGGACTGAGATGTCCCCTGACTTTAGGCTGCAGGGTGAAGTCTGTGTTAGAGTGGGGAATGTGGACTCCAGCCTCTGCCCATCATCCATCCATCGTCTCTACAGGCCCACCGGGCACCTTGGAGCTTGTGCTCCAGCCTCCACTGTTCGTATCTGGCTGCCCTGATGCCATCACCCGGGGGCACAATGAAGGGTCACAGCAGGGAAGGACTTGGGGGCCACACCACATGGGGTGAACCCAGCCTCCAAGGTTCCTGTGAGCTTGGGCAGGTGATGAGGCCCTGGTACCTCGCCTGGCTTGTCTGAGGAGCAGAGGGCCAAAGATGTGAGGCTGTGAGAGCCGAGGACCCACTTTTCGTTGGAGGTGTCTCACTCTTGTGAAACAAGCACCTTAGAGCTGGCCCACATCTCCAGCCATCCCAGTTCTACCCAGGAGTGACTCCTCACATTACCCCTTACTCCCTGGAGACGGTGCAGGGGGGACAAGCAGCTCCCCAAAACACTCTCAGGCCTGAGGCTTCCCGAGCGCCCTCCAGGCTAAGCTCTGAGAAGTGGCTTCTCCTGCCATTTCTGTAAGGAGGACCTCGGCTCAGAGCAGCGAGGGGCCCAGATCGCTGCCCGTGCCTGTGCTGCTCCACCAGTCACCTGGTCAGGGAGTCCTCCTGTTGGTGTGTGGGAAGCAGCCATTGAGGGGGGCCCCTGCCTTCGGTTCTCAGTACAGCCCTGAGAACTACCCCTTCACTACAATACGGGGACCAACCCCAGGTTATGGCCTCCAGGACCCAGCTCTTGTTCGATGTTTCTGTTCTCTGTGAAGGCTGGTTTCTTTTTCAAACATCCAACAATTTCATTTCTGTAAATTGTATTCCTATTCACATTTGTTTATACCAGAAACAAGGGGTGGTCTGTTCAGTCACCTCTACTTTCCCATTAAAGATGCAGAAAGGCACTTTGGGGGACTTGTCAACATTGAGCCCCCAGCACAGGGGACTAGGGGCTCCCGGCCACCTCCCCCACCTCCAGTGGCATTCTTCAGGGTGCCCTTCTGCTAACCATCAGCTGACCTTGACCATGACCAACTTGCCCAGCGCCAGGGCTAAATTTCGCCTCATGATGATGAATAATAAAATTCACATGGTCTTTATTTAGTCCATATAATACACCATTTTTTATAATTTTTTAAAATTAGAGAAAAGCATATTAAATGGCAAGGGTATGAAGTTTCTCTTCATAAACAATGTCAAAACCAAAAGTTCTGAGTTACAAAATGTTAAAAAATATGTAGGTACTTAACAATTCACTCAAGCGTAAAGTTACAGATATTTCCTAAAGAAAAATAATTGTGCCACTTACCTATTTTTTGCAGTTTCTAGGAACTTTTTTAAAATTCTGTACATAGAACATTTTGTACAAAATAGGAAGTCTACATTTTTATGACTTATTACCATAAAACAAAGATACAATGTATGTACAGGATGAAAAGGAAGCCACACTGAGAAGACACTAGGAGAGAGGGACATTTCTGGGGTAGACACGTCTGAGTCTCGGATCCTCAGAAGGAAACTCTGAAGGGAAACAGTCGCCAAGCGCAGGGGCGTATCCTCCAGGACGTTCTTCCAGATCCGAAGGGGACAAGGGGCAGTGGATGAAGACAACAGCACAGAGCCAGACCGCAAACGCGGGGAGGGGGGTCTGAGTACTAATGAGGAAACGTTAATAGGCCAAAAAAATGTAGGTGGGGCTCCTGGCCAAGGAGGTGGGTGTCTCTCGGAGTCTGCCGGCCGGATTTTGGTGAATGTTTATTGTGGTCAAGAGCAGAAATGAAGCCTAGACAGATGTCCTTACGTGGAGCTTCCCACATGCACTGCACGCTGGCGGTCTGCTGGGTGTGTTCTTCCCTAGGCCCCTCTCACATACATACTGAACACCCCAAACCAAGAAGATGGGAAAGTCTATTGGCTAAAGACAGAAGCTCAAACAATGGTTTATCAAAATACATAAGACGCTGCTTTGTACAATAAAAAGCACCCTTTTTCCCTCAGAAGGAGAAGGCATCTAGACTTTTTAAATTTTTTTTTTTTAAAGTATAGATTTCATCATGGTAAAATGGACATAGATACTTGTCAAGTTTCTCAGGAAATGCTTCTTTTCACAAAAGGGACATCCCCACTTCTAGCTGGGGAGATAGTCTGATTTCATTCTCACTCTTAGCACAGGAAGCCCCTCCCCCGACGATTCTCCTCCGTGACACTAGGACAAACACTAGGACAGAGAACATGGGGGCAGCAGGTGGCCACCGCACGGCCCTGCGTCTGCCATGAGGTATCCTGACTCACCCCTGGCCCCACAATAGGCTAGGCAAACTTATGCTGGAGACAAAGGAACTAGAGTTCAGGACAGTGGTGCACGTCTGAGAGCTTCCAAACAAGATACAGAAGTCAAAATACTGGCCACCCTGAGAGAAATAAAGACTAGACAAAGCGCTCAAGGTCACAGTCTTTCTCCTCGTGCTATCCAACAACAGACAAGAGAAAGCAGGGTACATGCAGGGAGCTAATAGCAGCATTTGAAGATGGGTGAAATGTTAGTTACTGATTTGACTCATGAGGTGTTTGTAATGTGCTCTTGCCAGAGAAGACTCCAAGTCTTCCCTCCCCATTACCCCCTCAGCTCTCAGGATCATGCAAACACACTAAGGATGTCAAGGCAATGCCGGCGCAATGGCGCCCTTTTTGTTCTGTGAGGTCAGGAGGCAGCTGCAGGTCACACTGGGCCTGGAGCTGGTGATCTCTGCCTCATCTTCTAGAGAATGTGGAGCTCTTAGATCAGCTGCATTTATCAAGGGTCTCTTGAAAGGGCAAGTGTTTTCAGTAAGGAAAAAAAACCCCACTCTGCCGATGATGATAGGGACACATTTCTAACCTTGAACCCCACTCCTTCGAGGTGGGCCAGGAGAGCTCTTCAGAGGTGATTCTCCGACCAGCTCGCTCCTGGCATCCTGGACCACAGACTCAGGGTATGGCTTTAGCTATACAGAAACCAGACACAGAGGACATGCTGCAATACCCTAGGAGAGTCCAGGGCTGGGATTGTCAAATCACTTTACCCAGGAGTCTGAAAGCAGGGAACCACCTCAATGAGTCAAAAAAAAAAAAAGAAAGGAAGGAAAAAACCCCAAACCGAAACCCACCAACCAAAAGTTAGCTGCTGGCTGCGTAACATCCCCCGGAAACAATCCGAGGTCGAGCGTCTGCAGACCTGGTGATGACGGTGAAGTATCCTTTGATTTCAAAACCACAGGTGGCATCCTAGAGCCCCGGTGGGTCCAGATTATGTCCGTGTGGGACGAGGTGCTGACCAGGGTGCCTGTCTCGCTGTGCCCGTGGGGGACACCCTCACTGTGGCTGTCCCCCGCCCGCTCTGCAGGGGCGTCCAGGAAGCCACCATTGTTCGAACTCCTGCTCTTGGCGGATGCGGAGGGCGAGAAAGCGAGGGCTGTGAGTACTGATCGGTATGGCACAAGAAGGATGGACTTTCTACAGAACCCGAGAGTGGCCCCTGGCGCCGAGCACGGCTAGTGGCCGTCCTGGGCCAGCAGCTCGCTGGCTCTGCAGTGGGCGTCCAAGGCTTTCTTGGTGTAGGGGTCCTGAGGCAGCTCCGACTTGCGACGCATCAGCCCACGGTCCTTCTTCGGGTCTTTCTGTGCCTGAAACCAGAAATGCAACGGGGTTGGCTAGACAGCGAGCTGGCCTGGAGCAGCACACTTATCACCAACCATGATTCCCGGGGTGCTGCGGCCGGGGGCGCCGGACACCAGGCCTCACTGGGCCCAGGGAAGATGCGGATTCCATCAATGAAAAGAAGGCCAAGGGCCAACAGGCTGGGTCTGGTTTAAAGAGCATCAGGGCACTCGTGTGTGAGGGACTGAATGTAAACTGGGGCGTTCTGATCCTCCAAAAAGGGGAACTTGTGTACACACAGTCGACACCTCCATTCTGCAGGATCCACCAGAAAACAGGAAGGTGTGTCTGCCCAGCTCACGTTCCTGAAACGTAACCACATGAATTTACAGCTACAGCTAATCCAGTGGTGCTTCAGAAGCGAAATCTCCTTCACAGTCAAAATAGCCGAGATGGAAAACCGCACTCACTCAAACTAATAAAAGATCTTGTTTTATCAAACTTGAAGAAGAGTGTTTACAGGGACAAGCTATGAGGGGCATGTGATGACAGGCCTGCAGCACTGAGCCAGCGGGGGCCAAACGCGCCAGGAGGAACAGAAGTGCCTCCGCCATGCCCTGCTCTCGCAGAAGCTGAGGGCAACCTTCTAACCAAACACAAACACAAGTAAGTCAATCTCACCGTCCCAAGAGGAGTTAGTTAACTGTGGCTGAACAGGAGAGGCTGATCTGGGACGTTTACACACCCAAATCGCCCATTTCCATGGGTAGGAGTCAAATTTACCCAGCTGCTGACTATCTAACGTCCAGGTGCCATCAACTCAACTCCAGCTCACAGCGACCTCCCGGGTGTCCACGGTGTGCGCTCCCCACACGGCTCTGAAGGGCCGCACCTGGACAGAGAATCCCAGGGCTGCCTTCGCAAGTGTGTCTGCGTGGACATGAACCTCCAACCTTATGACTGGTACTGAGCCCTTCACAGGTGGCATAACCCAGGGGCGCCAGCTGAGTCAGCGACCTTACAGAACCGACTAGAAGTGTTCCACCCACAGGACTCCCAGAGCTGCACGCCTAAGGAAGCAGACAGCCAAGGTGTGCTCCTGGGAAGCAGTGCGTGTGTCTCAACTGCTGACTTTTCAGTTAAGCACAGTGCCACCAGGGGCTCTAGGTAGTACAGTGTCACTAGACAGTACAGACATCTACTATTAAGGGCCACCATGTTAATACCTGCACTTTGACAACAAAAACACGAACACTGTAAGGCCTTCTTGTCACTCCGATATTTAACTTCTGGGTGCGGTACACATTTACAGAAGTAAGCGACAACCAAGGGACCTGGAGAAGTCAATGGGAAGATGATTTTTATTTTTTTTTGAGGGGGACCTCTATTTCTCGGCAAGGTTCCTGGCAGATTCACCTGCAGTAGCCCTGATGTTTAAAGAGAATTCTGCCGTGACATCATTTTGAGAGCTGTGTGGGGGTGCTCCTCTGATGGGAATGCTCAGTTGAGACAGAGGTGGCAAATCTGTCACCCTGGGGAGGTCGCAAGCCATGGTTCCTGGTCAGCCGTATGCCCAGGGCACTGAGGCGGGCAGCCCCCACGGATGACCTGGCCCCCGACACAGCACCCACAACGGTCCTAGCTTGAGAAGCATGCTCTGTCTTTGACCTGCAGCAAATTCCACCCAGGGTTTTTATATCCCTTCTAGGCAGATTCGAAAAACAGGAAACTAAGCCCTGGCTGGAGCTACTGGAAATCCTGAGTTTTGGATGAACGGGGCATTCCAATAGAAGAAAACATCAAGAACAGGTAATAGAACAGAAGGAAAAGAGAAGGGGTGCTAGAAAGAGGCGGCAGCCAGGCTTGGCGCTGGAACCTTCGGCGCAAATGCTGGAAGCAAAGGAGGCCTAGAGGTTGTGGCTGCAGGTAGTGCCCAGGCACTGGCCTTTGACCGGACTGTGGGCAGTCCGATGGATGCAGGGAAGGCCTCACACACGGGGAGAAACTGTGAGAAAGCTGGGAGCTGAGAGTGAGCTTGTGTGGACACTGTATGCGAGCCGCGGGGACAGATACAAGCCAGGGAAGCAGGACTGTGGACATCTCCACAGGAGACAACAGCCAGGGTCGAAGGTCAGAGGTCAGTGTGAGCAGTGTGACTTGAAGGTAATTCTCAGTCTTTCACCCTGTGGAGCCAAGTTCCACGTTCCCGCTGATTTGGGGGCAGAACTGATGACAACGTCTTAGTTTTGAAGTGACTGATTTGGATTCCATGTTGACCATCACAAGCTAGGATGACATGGGACACACTCCATGCTCAGGACGTAGACCTGCCAACGGCTTTCCTGCAGACGAAGCCTTAAGGAGTCTCTAGGGAGGAAGGGGCTGGTACCTGCACTTGCCACCTGAGTGAACTTTCTACACCTTCCGCCCTGGCACGGTTGATACCGCCTTTTTCCTGACCAATGGCTGAAAAGGAGAATGGCAAAGCTGTCAAGGTTTCTGACAGGTCTTCCAGAAACTGCCAGCTGGCAGTGGGGCCATAGACTTTTCTCAAAAGGAAAGAAAAACAGTGGTTCTACTGCCGGGTGATGCCCCTCTGGACAGTGCCACGTCCAGCCTGACCGCTCTGGCCCTGGGATCTTAGCTGTCTCTCCCTCTCCCACCTGCCCTGACCTCACGTGTGCAAGTCACTGTAAGGAAACTTACAATATTTTGTCAAAATGAATGAGTGGAAAACAGAACTACAATGGACACTGAATGTCCTCTAAATTACCAAATACACAAAACCTTAGTGCAGGGAGCTCTGGTGGCCTAGTGGCAAGAAGCTGCACTGCAATCGCAGAGGCACGCAGCTCGAATCCACCAGATGCTCTGCTGGAGAAGGAGGGACAATCTCCTTCTGTACCAGTTGGATCAGATTGGACAGCACACACTCACAAAATAAAAATAATAATAATTTAAAAAAACTACCTTAGCGCAATTACTCCACTCTCACTGAGGCCAGTTTCTCAAAGTGTGAGAAGGAAAACAATTTCTCATTTAAAATATGACACTGAGAAGAGAGGGGTATAAAGCACCTGGAGAGGCCGAGCTGCGGGGGAAATCCCACCGAGTCAGGCCCTCTAAAGACAGCAGCTGTGAAATGGACTCATTTGCCCCCAGTAGCTTTGTTTTCTTCAGTTGTTTTGGCTGAAGGCCTTTGTATTTCTGTATGGATTTGAACATCAGCTAGTTGTTGTTTTTTTTTTTTAATTTAAGGGGAAAAAATATCAGTTGAGACTCTGCTTATGTTAAATGTGCTGATGGTACTTGGGGAGAAGTGACATGGTAAAGCCTTGTGACTCACAGGAGGATACAGGGATCTGAGCTGTCTAACCTACAGGCGGGAATCGTGGACAGCAGTGAGCACACGGGAAAGCTGTGTGGGCCTGCTCCTTAGGTCCGGGAGCAGGGTAGGGCAGGGATTGCTTATCTCCCAGACCCACGGAGCAGTCCTGTCCAGCCAGAGCTGTGGCCCTCGGAGGGCAGCAGATGGTCAGCCTTAGAGGGAAGTTCCTGACACAGGGTTTGACATGACCGCTGAGTGCCTCAAAGGTGACCCTGCTCAATGGGAAGCAATTCTGGTGCATGTTCCTGACCTTGACCCAGTTCCTGATTTCCTATGAGCTGGACTGAATTCATAAATCTGTCTGGAACCAATGCACCCAACTCCACTCTGGGCATAGTCTATTCCTTCCTTTGTGTAAATTCAAAGCCCAAAGCCAAACCCACTGCCGCTGACCTGACTCTGACGCAGCAACCTTGTAAGATGGGAGGGCCTGTCTGCTGGGTTCCCAAGGCCCAGAGTCTCTCCTGTCTTGTTCTTCTCCCAGCAGCTGCTGGGCTTGAACTGCCAACCTTACAGTGAGCAGCCCAGCACGCATCCAAAACCACTGGGCTTCCTTTTTACATCACAGGATGCACCAAAAAGAAAAGGCCCGGCCCCAACTACTTCCCATGTGAGCACCAGCTTGTCAGTCACCCAGTTACTTGTTGAGCTGTGGGGCTTGCAGGACTTCAGAGCTCCCAGACCAGCCAGAGCCGGGCAGAGACACTGACCGCAGCCAGGCCAGCACTGGCCGTAACGGGTCTGTGGCACAATGGTTAAGTAGTAAAACAAAAATGGCAACGACAAGGGCAATCAATTTCTATCCAAGTTTAACAGCAACAGTAACCAGTCCAGGAAGAGGACCACCAACTCCTCAACCAGCAGAAGGAAGGCCAAAGGACCTTCCTCGTTTTCCAGAAGGCACCCAATGCTACATGAATACTAGCTGCGAGGGAAGGATGGCATTTAACTGGGTGGGGTAAGACATTTATTCACATTCACACTAGGACTCTTCTGTGATCCCCGTGGGCGCTCTCAATCTTAAACCTGGATGAGCTAAAGCCGCGTTCATTCACCCGCTCATCCTGGGCCCAACGCCAGGCTGTCCGGCCTCAGGAACCACCTCTCTGCGGTCCTGATAGAAGAGTCTAGACAGTTACGTCCAGGTGAAAACCTGACGCCTGCACATGTCCCATTTGGAATTTTCTAGGTGGCCACATTAAAGAAAAAAAAAGGAGAAAGCATCTCCGGGTTCATTTGGCAGTAAAGTCTGTGACAGGTGGAATCTGTGTAAGGTGGAAAGCCAAGAAAGTAGAGAAACACAAATGTTTTCCACTAAAGTGACTGACAGGTCACCCTGCCCAAGGCTCCAGCCATTGCAGACTTCACTGCGCTTCTACTGAACACAGTGAGACTGTAACGGATTTGACACATAACCCGTGAGGTAACAGGAAGGAGATGTTACATATTCCTTTGCTCCAGTCTCGGAACAGACACATGGAGGGAGCTCAGTGGCTGCTGTGTGGGCAGCTCAGCCCTCAACGGTCTTGGTTTTCTACTCTTGCTAACGTGCGATAGTTTCTGGGCCTGCGCAAGATCCTTGAGTTGAGAACAAACAGGCGGAGACGCCCTCGGGAAGGACCCCGGCACTGGTGCCCGTCTCAGCACGGTGAGGTCATTTTACAAAGCAGGATGTTGGTGCTGCAACAGCTAACAGGGGTGAGGAAGCTTTGAAGTGGACAGGCCAGCCGGCGCCCCGACGCCTGCCATGCTTCCGTAGTCTGGGGAGGGGCGTGTGGCCCGAGGGGCTGTGGTTCCAGGTCCCCCAGACCATGGACTCGGCTCATCCATGCTGAAGGCCTGGGCCGCCTGCCGCCCTCTCCCCCCGATGCAGCACAGTCTGGCTCCTAGAAATCCTAAGGACAGAGCCCAGCTGCCCCGTGGGTTGTCAAGGGGAGCAACCTTCATGGACGCAGGTGGCCTCGAACTGCTGATCTCTGGGTTAGCAGCTGAGGGCGTGCTTGACCCTGAGCCACCAGGACTCCCGCTGGAGCGCTGGGAGACCTCAAGTGCTCTGTGGGGACCCAGGGGTTTCCCCAAGCATGGACACCAACCCTGTACCACATGGGGTACCACCGGGAGGGTCCCAAGCATCCTGGTCCCAGCATGTCGACCTAACAAGGAGAGGCCAAGCCCACCCCAGGGTGCTGGGTTGCGGGGCTCAGCGCTGCTGCTGTGGAGAACTAAGGGTCTGTCTGTGGGTCAGCGTGAGGAGAGGAAGCATGGACAGCCAAGCGTGGCGAGCGGTGGTTACGGCAAAGCTGCTGATTTGGCTCCAGTGAACGGGCGCGGGTGGGAGCAGGGAGCGATACTGCTAAGGGAGGCAGACAGGAATCGAAGGCGTAAACGCGATCCTGCAAACGGTTTCTAGCAACCAGATTCAGGGTCAGAGCTGGGGACCAAGTGTCTCCGAGGCTCTCAAGACGGAGTTTTCATTTTCTCTGGCGAGAGTGCGGGGGGACAGTCACCTCACCTCCTAGGATTTGGGAAGCGTTTGTGGAGCGGAGCCACAGAGCGCACAGTCACAGCGCTGAGCCTTTACCTGGCGAGGGTCCTCGCTCACTGTCTTTCTCACCATCTGCACATCTTCAAATAAGGGCCCGTCTGTCTCCATTGCGACCGGCATGCTCTGGGTGCTGGCTTGTCTATACACTGTGTACTGCAATGCAAAGTGGGGTGTCACCGTCCGGAGGCTGTGGGCCGAGCTGCAGCGCCCCTCACATACCCACTTGCCTACCACCTTAGCACTGGGTGCCCTGTGATCACCATCCCAGAGGCAGGCCCAGGTGGGCAGCCCAGGGGCGTGGCCCTGCCTGTCCTCAAAAAACCATTTCGAACTCTGTTTGCAGAACCTTCCCTGCCCCGGGCTCCAGCCCGCACCTCATCTTGTGGTTTTTGATGCTCTGATTCCACATTAGATCACTGCACTTGGGCACGGAAACAGAGACCTGGTCCCCGAGCCCCTGGCCTCATGAGCTTGGCCTTCTTCACATGTGGTTTCTCTTCCTATCCTCTGACACTCGACAAACCAGGACCCTGGGTGCACCTGAGTGAACGGTTCCCTCCACAGCCTGGGCCAGCCCTGCTGGGGATATGGCCACCCTACACCCAGGCCATATTACAGGTCCCTGGCTCCAGGTGCTGCTCCAGGGAGGGAGGCAACCTGTGTGCCCTGGCCTTGCCACCTGGCTCCTGGGTGAGATGGGGACACTGCCATGCCCGGGTGCTCGTGCTGAGGGGGTGCTGCTCTATCAGACCCACCCCCAGATTCGCTCTCCCCAGCCTCTCCCTCCTTGGTCCTCTTACCCCCTCCCTTTCCGGCCCTCCCTGGCTCTCCTGCTCCCTCACTCATCAGTCCTCCCACCCCTCATTTTTCAGGTCTCTTGTTTCCTTCCTCCTCGGTCCTACCCCCTTCCCTTTCCAGCCCTCCAGCTCCCCCACTTCTTGGCCTTCCCTGGCTCTTCCACCCCCTCACTCCTTGGCCCTCCTCTCCCCTCACCCTACCACCTGTTCCTGAGTCTTTCCCTGAACTAATCCCACCCCTTGAGCCCAGACTCTTGGGTCTAATTCCCACATTCATCCCTGACCGCACATGCCAAGCCCTGATTCCATCCTAACCCCATTTTCTGGGCCCTGGCCACCCCCAGTCTGTCTCCTCCCTCTGAGCCTCATTCCTGCCCCCAACTCCACTTTCTGATCCCTGCCCCCATCCTTGACTTCACCCTCTTGAGTCCAGCCCCTGCCCCACCCCCACTCCGTGTCCACAAGGGTCACCCCACCCAGCACCCTATCCACGACCTCCAGATACCACTCTGATGAGGCCACTTGGCTCACCTCTGCACACAAATTTTGAGATGAGACCCAAAGTCGGTCTTTGAATCGATAAAATATTTGCCTTATAAGATCTGAAGGCAAGCATGAGGGAAACTTCTAGAAACATGCAGTGAACAGGTAGTACACTACCAGGTATTTAACTTAGGAAACAGCTGTTAAATCAAGCCTCAGAGCCAGACGTGAAACGAAAATCAGGCTTCAAGAAATTGGAAGGCTTTCCTCCCAGGACAACGACCACAGACATTTTAGGTATTATTCTCTTTCCTCAGTAAGTGGCAAAGGGATGGGCACCTTCTTGAGAATGAAGAGCCAGCGGGGCTCCAGGCCCGCGAGAAGCAGAAGGTCATTTTCAGGAGCAGCGCAGTGGGGGTGCGGACAACACAAGAGACAAGTTATCTCAGACGGCCGTGCCCAACACCAGAGCGTGTGGGGCCCAGCGTCACCTGCCTTCGTGCTGGAACCACTGAGATGAGACCAGGCTGTTCCTGGACTCACAGAGACGTTCAGAGAGTGACCACAAGGAACTGCAGAACACAGCCTATGCAAGCTCAGGGCGTTGGCACATGTACAACACCTCCCCCCCCAAACAAGCTCAGGGCACTTGGCATATACTTACACCACCACCACCGCCCCCCCGCCGCTTCAGAAGCAACTGTGGGGGTGGGAAAGAGGGCCACGCATGTTAGTGCAAAAGGCAGAGCTCTTGTGGGCTCGTGGCACCAGCCAGCCCTTCAAAGCTTCTAACAAGCATTTCTACACCCTGGGATGCAACGCGTGTTTGATTTTCAGGTGCGGGTTCACTGAGTGGATGGCTGGTTCTGGTGCCCCGTCTCGTAAGCGGGTTGTGTGGCTCTGGCCCAGGGAAAGGTGTGGTGGGTCCTTGGCCATGCCAGCTGGACACAATCACCCAATCCTGGCCTACACGGCCCTGCGGTTTCAAACCAGAATCCAACTTTCACCTTGTTTTCTACAAGGTCACTGACAGCCATGAACCCCAGCGCTGCCTGTCACGGCTGCCAAGTCATCACCAACGGCCCATCCACCCAGGGGACTGCACCGGTACTGCAGGGCGCGTGCGGGTCACCTGTTTGGGGCGGTAACCCTCATTTCACTGCTGTCGAGTTGGCACCGACTCCCCAGCTGACCCTGCCAGGGGTGTGCAGAGGCCACACAGTCACGGGAGGGGACGGCCCGTCTTTCTCCCCAGGAGCGACTGGAGGATTCACACCTCTGGAGAAGCACAGCTTTGGGGAACGCAGCCTGTGCTGCTTAGTTTCCCAGTGATCTGCCTTTTCATGTCAGCTTACCAAAGGGAACATAATCAACAAGCTCCCACACAGGCAGACATGCTCGGAACTTGACAGTTCCCCTTAGGTTTTGAAGTGATTTTAAAAACAAGATGCAACTCAGATCATCATTGCACACACCTCCCATGAGAAGCAGCGTAACTCAGAACCCGTTCTGGAGTCTGAGAGGGACTAAGTAGTTGTCCAAGGATAAAACCTCTTTCCTGGGACAATGGATGGATTACGCCTGAGAGTTCCCTGGTGGCAAAGATCCCGGCAAGCCCATCACAGCCAGCAGCGCTGTCATAACAGGACAGGCACACATAACACAAGTGTTTGCGACGACAGCACCCGAGAGCCCAAGCCACTGAAGCAAGTGGACAGAAACCCAGAGACCACAGCTCAGAAACTGGCCCCAAACACAGCCCGGCCAACCCCGGAGGCAGGCTATTGAGGAAGCAGCTTTAATTGCTGGTGGAAACAAAGAAGTCAGGTCTGCCCAGCCTGCTAGAGGGCAGGGGACCCCACCTGCAGCAGAGAAGAGGGGAGTCAGTCATGTGGTAGAGTTCAAGTGACTGCTGACGACACCAAGGACTGCACCCAGAGACACCTCATTGAGGGACAGAGAACCCCCCCAAGCTCCTTCCTTTCCTTCAGAACCGGCGCAACGGGCAGAAGACACGCAAATACCATCTGTGCAGCAGCATTGCTGACATGTGCGAGAGAAGGCAGATCAGAATCTGAGTCTAAAACAGGCATGAAAGTCAGGTTGTGTTTTAGCCACAGGAGATTTTAAGATTTGCATCTCACTGAAATAGCAGAGGAGGGAAAGCCTTCCCCATAAACATACCAATTCTGTGGGTGGGGCAAAGAAGTACTTGTACAAGAGGAGGGTTACAAAGTTGAAAAGTATTTTTTATTGCAGATCATTTCATATACAATGTTAGTGAAATCAATGTCCCTTCCCGCACATGATGGGGCCACAACACCTACATTATCAAAAACGCGCCAGCACCCCCTGCAGGCTCTCATGTCACTCTCTTTTTTAGTACCTGGGGATTGGCTTTGGCTAGATTCTCTATTTTAACCCACGCTTCTTCTCGTTCTTTCATTTTTAGCTTCTCTCTGAAAAATAGTAAAATGTCACTTGTATTAGGCAGGAGAATCATATGTGAGAAAACAATGAAGGAAAAAACCAAACAAACCCCACACTGTCCCCCCCGCCAGGACATGATGACCCAGCTTTCCTTGCACCTGCTCTGGGCTTGTCCACACACACACGCCCCACCCTGGTCACAAAGCGCAGACTGTGCCAGATGAGATGAAGAGAGTGACACAGGTTCAGAGGGTGCGGTGTGAAAAGGTGCGCGTGCTAACATCTTGGCATGCTGAGGAACGGAAACTCTTAAATGTATTTCTGTGTCATGTCTCTGCTTCTTTCTGATGGAGGTGCTTCTTCCCCGAGCCCCAGGGATTCTGATGAGTGGCTCACATTGTCACGGCAAGGACCACTGTGCCAGCGAGATCTGCTGGTGTGAGTCACTGTCATGTCACCTGCGACAGTGAGTGCTGGCATACAGGTTTTGTTCTGCTGTGTTGTGTGGGAACCCTCGAGGGGACTGTGGGAGACTAGGACCCACACGGGTGGAGACTGCCCATCTTTCTCCCCTGGAGCAGTGGGTAGATTTAATGTGTGCCTCATCACTAGGCCACCAGAGTTCCCTGGGCATACAGGCAGGTACAGGGAGATGCCAGCTGGCTGTGTGGTATGTGTATGAGTACTGCCGGAGGCCATGTGTTCAGTACTAACTCGCAGTGCTGCCCCATAGAGCTTTCTGATAGTAATCTCCCTAGAAGCCGATGGTTAGGGCTTCTCTTCCATGGAGTGGCTGGTGGGTTCAAACCACTGACCTTTTGGTCACAGTCATGCTCTTCTTAACCACTGCATCGTTCCCTCACATCATGGTTGTCGAGTCAGAACGGACTCATAACTGACTGTGCAGGGGCGTTTTAGAGGCAGGACATTGTATGTGAGGAGACTATTTTTCTCCCTCAGAGCAGCTGATGGATCGAAATCATCTGCCTTTGGGTGGGCAGCACAGTGAAGGTTGGTGGTTCGAATCCAACAGCCTCTCTGTGAGAGAACAATGAGGCAGGCTGGAGCATGTCGGAGACTCCAGCAGAGGGTAAACAACACGGCCACGCGCCGGGAAACAAGGAATTCCTGGGCCTTGCTTCACCATGATGCTGGCTTCCGTGCTGAGAGCTAGAAGTGAGCGTGTGGCCTCCTGAGCTGCCGGGACGGGTGGCAGCCCTCGGTGCCCAAGAAATCCCGAGGGCTGCGGCCTCTGGCTGCAGAGAACCTCTCTGCAGACGACAAAACTATGCGACCACAACCAAGCTGTAACGTGCTTTCAAAGCACAAGCCAATTCGTTTTGCTTTCAAATAAAGAGTAAGTGTTGACTATAAAACCATGGGAGAGGCTAATTTAGGATCGAAGAAACGCACAGATGAAAGCCCTCCTGACAGGCACGCCGCGAAGGGGAACTTACTTGAGCTTCTCGGCCTTGAACTGCTGCGTGCAGTCGTCAAAGAGTTTTTGGTTCATCTCCATGAAGAGCTTCAGCGCGTTGTAGATCAGGCCGTGGATCGTCCTAGGGGTAAAATCCAGGTGAGACTCGCAGAGCCGAGACCTCCTCGTCCTTCCTCCCCCCGCTGCTGCTGCACTTTTCCTGCCCCCCCGAAGCGTCAGGCCATGCCAACGGTCCCACCAGATGCAGGTGTCCTCAGCCTGTCACCTGTGACTTATAGCCACTGCTTCCCTGGAGCGGCCCCAGCTCTGAGGCTCCTTCACAGCCACGCTCTGAGCTCAGGAGCTGCACCTGAGACCTAACAGGGGAACAGCGGGCACCAGGATGAAGACACGCTTACAGAGGGCGCAGGGACAAACCCCGCGTGTCCTATCAAGGCGAGCTCCCTTTCAATTTCGTTCATGGAGGGCAGAAAAGTAATAACGCTAAAGCAGAGCTTTGGAAGGTGAAAAAATGCAATTACCATAAACCGGCTTCATCCAAACTTAATTCTCAAAGCATATCTACTAGCTAACTCACTTTATCGTAAAACTGATTCTATTAAAAAAATACTTCTTTCTCCGCAAGGAATGCTAATTACTAACGGTGACATATGGTAAGAAATTACAGCGGAAACTCAGTGCGCCTCTTTAACTCAACAAAACATCAATGTCAAGGGAAGACGGCAGACACTGGGACATGAACAGCCCCGACCACGAACAGCTTCACCACGTGGCTGGTAGTCGTAAGCCAGAGCTGTGCAGGGAGCACGGTCCAGGGTCCACTGCCCGGAGAACGTACGGGGAAAGCCTCACTGTTCTTGGCTGCACACGGGCGGTCACCACGAGGGGTGGACATGACGGCAGCGGGTCGGACCCCTGGTGTCCTCGCACCACGCGGTCCTGCTGCTCCGACCGCAGACCTGACCGGACCGTGTACAGAGCGCTCGCACGTGCAGGGCCTTGGTTGCCTGGCACACGCCACTGCCGTCAGTCGGCTGTGACTCACGGCGACACTCTGTCGGCCTGCTGACGCTGACGACCGTTCCCCAACAGAGCAGCTAGTGAGCCGCCTGACACGTTCTGCGCTGACACCAGGGATCCCCATACCTGTCTACAGCTTCATCCCATCTGTCACGACAACGTGACACCACGAGATGAGAGTCCAGCACACTGTGGTCAGCAGGACGCCACGTCGGCTTTCCGGTGAGGAACGTGCCTCATTCAGAGCAGTGGGGGCCTGACCAGTCTGCGTGACCCCCGCGACCCCCTTTCCACTCCCGTCCTGTCCACTAAGACCCTGGGGAGGAGGTGATGAACATGAACGCGAGCAGTGGAGCGAGCAGTGGACCTCAGACCTGCAGGCCTGTGGGATGTCTGTGCTGCCTGGCAGGGGCGCACTGCAGTGAGGCGGCGATGAGGGGACATAGCAGTGGGGGGGGGGTGCATCACAGTAGGGGGGTACTGGGGCCACCGCAGTAAAGGGGGTTGGGGGCACTGCAGCAAGGGGTGGAGGGGAGCACCACAGTAGGGGGTACTGGGGAGCTCTGCACTAGGGTGGGTACTGGGGAGCACTGCCCTGGGGGGGTGGAGGGCACGGCAGTGAAGGGGGAGGAATCCACAGTGAAGGTGGGGGGAGCACTACAGTGAGTCGAAGCAGCAAAGAAGCATTGCAGGTGGGGGGAGCACTGCAGTGGGGTTGGGGTGGCTGGCAGGAGCAGCACTACACTTAGAGTGGGGTGTTAGGGGGAGCACCACAGTCAGGGCTGGGCAGCAGGGGGAACATTATCTTGAGGGTTGGGGAGGCCGGCAGGCGGAGCACTGAGGCGAGCTGGGGCAGCAGGTGGAGCACTCATGAGAATTGGGGCGTTAGGGGGAGCACTGAGGAGAGTTGAGGTGGCAAGTGGAACACTGAGGAGAACTGGGGTGTTGGGGGTCACTGAGGAGAGCCAGGGGGAGCACTGATGAGAGCTGAGGTTTTAGGTGGAGCACTAAGGACTGGGGTGTTAGGGGAAGCACTGAGGAGAGCCAGGGCAGCAGGGGGAGCACTGAGGAGAGTTGGGGCGGCAGGTGGAGCAGGGAGGAGAGTCGAGGTTTTAGGGGGTCACTGAGGAGAGTCGGGGTGTTAGGAGGTCACTGAGGAGAGTCGGGGTGTGTGGGGGGTCACTGAGGAGAGTTGGGGTGTTAGGGGTCACTGAGGAGAGTTGAGGTTTTGGGGGAGCACTGAGAACTGGGGTGTGGGGGGTCACTGAGGAGAATCGGGGCGGCAGGGGAGGGGTGGCCGCCGTAGGGACGGTCTGCCTCCCACCGCCATGAGCTCACAGCGACCCTTGGTTCTTGGGGGGAGCTCTCCAGAGTGCAGAAGCTGCCTCAGGATCCCACCAGGACAGCGGGGTGAGCCACAGGCCTCATGCTGGCTTCTGACGGGGTCCAGGGAGGGACAGTGAGGCCCCAGACACAACCAGCACTCTGATCTAAGTGGGACGAGGCCGCCAAAGCTCCGATTCCTCCGGCCCTTAAACCCCGGATGCTCACAGTAACCTGTGTGCAGTGACATGGACTGAGTCCCACTGAACCGTCACTGGGCAAGCGGCCCAGCTCGGAGCCGTTGCTCTTACTTGTTCCAGTGGGTCTTTGAGTTGCGGTACAAGGACGGAAACATGATGGGTAGGATTTTGGCTGCGTTGTCGCTGATCAAACTCATGATGTACTCGTTATTCCAGTAATACAGCGCCCGCTCTGCCACCTGCAAGACAGGACACTGAGTGCTGGGTCCCAGCGACGTGAACAAGCCTGGCCAGCACGTCTGCCCGTCAGAGACGGGGCTGCCCCACGAGCCGGTCTCACGGCCGCTGGTTCTGATTCACAGCGACTCTGGAGCACAGGGCAGAAGCGCCCAGGGCTTCCAGGGCTGTAAATCTTGAGAAGCCCACACATCTCCCAAGGAGCACCTCGAGGATTTGAACTGGTGATGTTAAGCAGTCTAGTCTTACCCCAGCACCCCCCACGGCTGCTTCACGAAATCAAGTGATTGGAAAACTGTCTACACGTGGACATTACTCCAGACAGTCTCCCTGAAGAGCCTCAAACACAAACCGTAACTTAACAAAGTACATTCCGCGACCTGAAGGCGCGCAGCCGGGCCCTCCTCCCGCCGCGAGGTGTCCGCACCTGGAAGTGTGGGCTGGACACACACTTGGCCAACTGCCTGAAGAGAGGCTCCATGACCTTGACGAACTCCGAGGGCTCGATCACGTCGAGGATCTCCTCCAGCTCGTTGAGGAACATGACTTCTTTCGGACTGTGCGTCTTTGGCCAGTATTTGAGAAGTGCCATCACCACCTGCCGGGACCAATGGAAAGGGCGAATGAAGCCGATCTGGTCACCGAGGCATTCTCGGCCCTCAGCGCGCAAACAAGCGGCTTTGTCCTCCAGGACTGAGTGTGCCTCAGCCAACAGTCATTCATACATGGACTTGTGTGTATTACATGCCTATGAGAAAATGCTTCCAATTCTGCTAAAACATATTAAACAACCACAAGTAAGCAGATTTTGCTAAGTCCCACCTGACTGTGCAGTGGGCAAGGGGTTCTGGCCCCACCCAATCTGTCCTGAGGGTGACCCTGGGGTGACTGGTCACCTGGCTCCTGGGACCCTGGCACACTCAACGCAAAGGGCACAACATCCCCGTCCAGGGACCACTGAGTGATTCAAGGGGGCCCATCCCGTGAGAAGTGCTGGCTACCATCACCCCATCACCCAGCGAGCTGGCTATGACCAGACACCCGCTGTTCTGATTTTTTTTCCCTTTAAATTCATTGTTGCACATTTTCTCACCACGCCCACCGCCGACCCTACAATGTACCCCTTGATCCAGAATGTTCTCATACATATAATGCATGATCATCTATTCCTTTCGGACAGTTCTCTTCATCTGTTCTAATGCAGCGTTCATTATCTGCCCACTCTTTCTTCACTACCTCTGCCACCATGTCCTATTTCATATCAGCAGTGCTATGCAGGATTAGTCCTTCTGTGATCGAGGTACTTCCCTCGGTATAACGTCCTCCATGCTCCCCTATGTTGGGTACTGTTTTACTCTGCCACTGTTTTTCTTTTTTGGGTTCTCAGTAAGTTGTAAAAGAAAATATATTTTGTGATTTTTAACAAAGTTTATAGGAAAATTAGATTTTCTTTCATTCATTCGTATCCGTTCTCCATCCCCCAATTAATATTTTAGATAAAAATATTCATTCATTGTTGTATATCTGTTTTTCAATGCTGTGTAATATTCCATTATGTGAATAAAATTTTTCTATCCATTCGTTTGTTGATGGGGATGTGCGTTGCTTCCATCTCTTTGCTGAGTAATACAGCAATAAACACGGGTGTGCAACATTTGTCTGGGTGGCAGCTCTGGTTTCTTTAGGTATACTCCCAAGCAGTGGAATTGCTGGGTCAAATGGTATTTTTTAAAAAAAAATAATTTTAATGAACATTTACAGAGATTCTGGATTTCCATTCATTCATTGCTGCACTTCTCTCCCCGCCCAGCACTCCGCCCCCCACCCCCAGTTTGCTCCTCTCTTTTAAAAGTAAAAGAAACACTCCCTCCCTGATACACAATCCCCCCGCACCCCTCCCATCGCCCCAAGTACATTCCACTATGCAAACTTAATTGTGGACTCTTGTGATAACCATAATACCCTATCATACATTGCTTTTAAATTATTCTCTCCCTCATCTGTTTCAGTGCAGTATACATACTTTATCCAGTTTTTCTCAGTCTTACCCTAACCCTGAAATCAGTCCCATTTAACAGCAGTGGCACCATGCAATATTTGTCCTTTTGTGACTGAGATATTTTACTCAGCATGTCCTCCAGGGTCACCCATTTTGAATAATATTTCATGAGTTCCTTGTTTTTCAGTGCAGCATAGTATTCCATTCTCTATCCATTCGTTTGTTGATGGGCACCTGGGTTGTTTCCAACTCCTTGCTATTGTGAACAGAGCTGCGATAAACATGGATGTGCATATCTCTGCTTGGATGTCAGTTATGGTCTCTTTGGGATATATTCCCAGTAGTGGAACTGCTGGGTCAAATGGTATCTCTATTTGCAGCTTTTTGAGAAAGCGCCATACAGCCTTCCACAGTGGTTGCACCATTTTACACTCCCTCCAACGGTGAATAAGGGTTCCAGTTTCTCCACAACCTCGCCAGCATTTGTTGCTTGCTGCTCTGTTAAATTTTGCTATTCTGACTGGGGTGAGATGATATCTCATAGTTACTCTGATTCAAATGGTATTTCTATAGTCAACTTTCTGAGAAAATGCCAGACCGCATACCATAGTGGCTGTACCATTTTACATTACATTTGTACCAGCAGTGAATAAGGGTTCCAATCGCCCCACAACCTTGTCAGCATTTGTTGCTTGCCGCCATGCGTTAGCTCAGTCATCTTCATTCTGATTTTTTTGCAGAGGAAATGGAGGCTCCTGGAGTTCAGACCTCTAGCCAAGCCAGAAGAAGGTTTTCCATCAGCTGTCTTCTCTGTGCTCCAGGAGTTTCCAAGTTTCCTGCTAAGACCGTCCCAGTACAGGAATGCTCACTCAGAACTCTGCTAACAGGTGAACATGTCTAGAGAGTAAGTAATGAAAATCGAAAACAGTTAAATTAACCAAAAAGTGTTTTAATCAAGTAGATACAGGGCTGCTATGAGTTATGGTCAACTTGATGGCACCTAACAACAACAAAAAATATGAAATTATCTGAAATTGAGCTGTCTCTACCAAAGTGATCCCTTGTCCAACACAACAAGAGGTGCCCGGTCCAGTTCCAGCCTCAAGATGACCGCTGGGCCTGCATCTCTGTACCGTTATCTGTCGCCTGATCTCTCTGGGGGTTCTTCTCTTCCTTACTGACCACTCAGTTTATCAGCATGTCCTTCTCCGGGGCCTGGTCCCCTCTTAGAACACGTTGAACAACGTGAGGCCCCCCCCCCCCTTTCACATCTGAGGAGCCTTCTGGCTGCACTTTGTCCAGGACAGGTAATGTCTGTCTGCACCGTAATTCAGAGGCCGATTCATCGATCATCCTTAATTACTGTCCACACTGGAGGCTAGCATGTGAACTGACTGAGAAGATGACGACTCGGTCCAGGTCCACCGTAATCTTTAAAGTGGCGTCTTTTCTATCTAACACTTGAAGAGTTCTTTTGCAGCCAAAGTGCCCAAGGTACTAACACATCATATGATCGTTCTCTGTCGGTGCTGCCATCAGGGGCGTGGGGACATTTCTCCAGTGCTGAGTCTCCTCAGAGTGCCTGGAGCTCACTGTTCTGCTGTTCCCAGCTCGGCGGCCACATGAACTCAGGACTCAGCAGGCCATGGATGAAAAGTGGTTGACATACAGAAGAGGCCAGCTGAACACTGGCGCTCTGACGAGCGTGGCCCGCGGGCTCCCGCACCGCCCTTTACACTAGGCCACCTGTAACTCTCCACCAGGTGTCCCAGGCTGCACATCTGTATGGGAGGAGCCTGCTTGCCTTTCTCCAATGGAGCACCTGGTGGATTGGAACCACCGAACTTAAAGATAGCAGAATGACCCCAGAGCTCCTTAAAGGCTCAAAGTCATGAAAAAGAAGTGCTCGTAGGCTGGTGCTAACGTGACAATGTACAACCCCTGCCTTCAATGGGAGTTATGTAAGACTGCATTCTGACTGGAATGTGACCAGAATTGATCATCTCAATGCGTGATAAACATTGAGGGGTGTCTCTTCTCCGCTCCGTCTGCTGGAATCACTGTTGAGAACGTGGCAGGTTATGTCACCCATCAACTCTTCCTTACCATCTGATGAGTGGAATCTTAGGGAAAATTCATTCTCTACACTGACCTTGCTTTTCAGTTGGAATGACCTGTGATCAACAGGCCAGGATTTTGGCTTCTGAATGTCACAGAGTTCTGCAGAGCAGGGTTCACCAGGGGATACCAATCCAAGTCAATGATGGCTACTGGCCTGAGGATTGGTTCCAGACACTGCGTGGTCTCAGGACACTCAGAGGAATCTCGCGCCCATGAGGTGGCCAGTGGCCCAGACTTGGATTCTGGGAATAGGGCCAGGATTTCCAGGGCCTGTGTCCTTTCTCCTGCCTGGGGCCTGAGGGAGAGCTCCTGCTGGGCCCGGCAGTGAACATGGGAGCCTGAAGAGGACGGAAGGGTGCGCCTTTCCCTGTCAGCGACATCTGTTCTTCTAGTAACCACAGTGCATCTGTCCAGTTGGCTCTGATGTCCCGGGAACAGTGTCCAGTGCTGTGCGGTCCCCACGATCAGCTAATTCTGAGAAGGCAATTCCCCGGCCTTCCTTCCTAGTGCATCTTAGTCTGGAAGTCGTGCTGAAGTCTGTTTCCATCACAGGGACGCACCTGCCTCCACTGACAGACGGGAGGCTGTGCATGAAAGGTGCTTCCTATTCTAATGGCAGTTCTCCGCTGGCTTCTCAATCCCTTGTAAGATCAAAGGTGACAGAGGGCACACCCAGGGAAGCTCCTTTCACATCATGGGACTGGGCCCCAGTGATGGCACGCATCCTACCGAAGCCCCTTACAAGACACAACAGCTCACACCATGGGGGACGAGGGCGTCATTACGTAGCTGCCTCTAACCCTGCCTCATTAACTTCATAGAGCAGACTATCATACACAGCATAATGATATAATAGTGAGAATTATGGCCTCAAAAAGTCGATATACATTTGAGGGGTGGAGCGATGACAAAATTCAACCCATGACATATTTCATGGAGCAGTGTTTATGGCTGTTAGTGCCAGAAAGTCAACTATGGCTCACGGGGACTCTATGAACAACAGAGCTCATCCTACCCTCCCCTCTGCCCTCCCATCATCTCCGTCTGCCTCAAGCCCACTGTGACAGGCACTTTATCAGTCTGCCCCGGTGAAGGTCTTCCTCTCTCTCACTGGCTCTGCCTTTCCCAGCATCATGCCTCTGAGAGCTGGTTCTTTTTGAAAATATGCCCAAAGCAAGTGTGAAGAAGTGTGAGCGTCCTTGTCTCTGTGGAGCACTCTGGTTGATCTTCCTTCAAGAGGGATTTGTTTGTTCTTTTGGCAGCCCATGGAATATCCAGTACTCTTTGCCAACACGCAATTCAAAGGCAAAAGAGTTAGAAAATGCTATACTTTTATAGGAACTGGGAAACAGGAAAATTCACGTCGCTGATCCATCAAAATATTTGCTTCATTACAGGAGCCTGAAGCTGAATTTGCACCACGCGCACTCACTCTCTCACTCTCTCTCTCCACCCCGCCAGGGCTGTACACATCCCAAGGGGCACTGCGTCCACGTAAGAGTCTGGCTGGAGAAGGGACACTTACAGGTTCAGTGAGGGTGCTGTCCTTTTCCAAAAACTGCACGACACAGTACGCCAGCTGGAAGGTGAGAAGAGGAGCCATTAGCCTGTGTGCGTCCAACATCACTGCTGGGCACCTTCCCAAGTGGACGTAGGGCCTGAGGACCGAGGTACCTCTCGGGGGCTGATCAGGACCGCGGGTGAGGCCCTGGCCCCAGGAGTACCCTCATCCCTATCTGCCCTGTGGGAGCTTGGAGGGGCTCTCAGGGTAGGGTCTCGGGGTCCAGTGCTCCAGAGACACTTCTTCCCTGTTAATTATAGATCTGAGAGCAAAGGAAACCAGGACTTGATCTTTCAGATGGACATTAACAAGCCAGGCCACGTAAGATCCTAGGGGGGTACAGGAACTGCATCAAAGTCTGGCTGGCTCCACCTTCAATCTCTGAGCTGTTTCTGTTCCCACCAATCACTGTAACAGTCTCCTGGCTGGACAGTGAGATGTCAGTGGCAACAGTGATTGGGAAACTCCAAGTCCAAGGGCCCCAGGAAGCAGGTGCCATTTCAACCCCTGAGCACTATGCTGAGCACTTCCTGCCCACAGACTTCTCCAGGGGGGCACCCTCTCCCCGGGGCCCGCCCGCACATCACTGGGGTGCTGTAACCACACCCAGGTGCACCTGTGCACACCATAAGGACTGGGGAGAAACTGGATCACCTAGGCACTGTGTACTGACACAAATGCTAAATGCAAGTTACACTATACTGGCCAACAATACTAACCACGCAGCGAAATTTTCCTAAGTGCTACACTATTTCTCCAGGTGAGGAGACCATCCGTTGTGTGTACGGCAAGTTCTGCAGAACCCACGTACCACACAATCAACCAGAAGTAGGACGGCAGCACCAAGCGTGGTATTAGGCCAATTAACTGGGGTGTCCCATGAAACCATGACCCCAGCCTCCAGTCCAAGGCTCCGCATCCCGGGAGGGGTGTGGCTCGCACCAGCAGCCTCAGCGGCTACTCGTCTCTTAACTCTTGGTGCTGGGAGTCTGCCTGACATACGACTTCTGCCAATGAACTTTCTCCAGGTGTACAACTGATAGAAATGTCTTAACGAACTCTTTATGGGCCATTTCATGAGTCAGGCACCCACAGGCCCCGAGATACTACATTTTAAATGTTATAAGAACTCTTTCCTCCAAGAAGTCCTCTCTAATTCCTTTCATCGTCGGCCATTTCTTTTTCTATGCCTAACCAGAACCTTACAATTCTGAACATCAGAGATTTTTTTGAGTTTTCAGAAGGACTCTCTTTATCTCCGCTACCTTTTCTCAGTTACCATCAGAAGAACCAGGTCACTGCAACCAGTAATGGCTTCTAGTGAGAAAACCCTGCGCCCCCGTGTCTTGCCCTCAGGACAATTCCGGGGCAAGGCTCCTGTGGACGCCGAGCGACGCACGCTTACCTGAGGGTGGTACACGCTCAGAGACTTCACTTTGTGCAAAGGCAGCAGCACCTTCAGTAAGAAAATCTTGTGCTCTTCTTTCAGCGGTAAGGCAAATCCATTGATTATACTGTGAAAACACACACACAAAGCTTGTGTTTATAAATTGCAGACTTTTAAAGAAACAACTTTGTAGGGTTTTTTTCAGGCTTTGTTTTTAGCAAAGAAACCAGCAGGTAAAATGTGCTGCAGAAAAAAAAGAGGCTATCAGCAAGGGGGGATAACGATCCTTTAAGGAAGCGTCGTCTTTTTTCTCTCTGCAGTGAGGAGGGTAAAATCGGGGACTGACAGGTGTGCACCAGAACAGGAAGATGGTGCACCCTCAGGTGGTTCTGGGGGACCCTTCCTCCTTAGGGGCGCAGGGACTGAGCTGGGGGCTGGTCCCCACACTGTGCTTGCCCCGCTTGACGGGGGCCTGGGACCTGAGTGAGCAGACCAGCCACGAGCATCAGCCAGCAGGCTCCCCTCGTGGGCATGGCCGGGTGGATGGCTGGTCTCGGACACTGCAGTTTTATGGAGGGTGAGAGGATGGCCAAGCAGTTTCTGACCTGTGGCTCCACCATCTACCTCAGAACCTGGGGGTGGGGGGTGGGGGGCAGTGCCAGGCGGCCTGTCACGATGATGTAATCACTTGTGAGGGAGAAGATCAAGACAGATATCTGCTCTGGAAGACCGAGACTCGGCCGTGGGAGCAGCTCAGACACCTCCCGTGCAGGGGACAGGCCCCTGGACACTTACACCCTCCCACAGTGACGGCAGGTTGGGCGGCCTGCACACTGCCCTGCTGGAGGCGCCCGCCCACCAGAATGAGTGCATCAGTGGGGGCAGGGTGCCTCTGAACACTAAGGTGCCTCGGCCTGGACCAGAGCATCCGACACATACAGACTTTCTGGAGGGAAGGGATTGGTGAGCCAGCACTTTTGGGAGCCACCCGCCTCAGCAGAAGTGCCCAGGCTCCTCGCTGGAGGCCTTCTCAGTGCCTTTTCCTGTTAGGACACATGGAACCCCAAGAAAGGCAACACGGAATCCCAAGTGGGGTCACCTCCAGCTTATGTGGCCAAGGAAGCCTGGGGCGGGGGGCGGGGCTATGATGGGAACACTGGGCCAAGATTCTAATTAAAAACTGAAAGGTCCCTGAGCTGCCCAGTTCTGAAATACTCGACGAGGTTTTCGTGAGCACATATCACTTCACAATTCCTCACAAATCAGCCACCGCATTCTGAAAAGTCACAGCAAGCAAGAACTCCGCCTGCATTAAAGCTAATGAGAACTCGGAAGACTTAGTTTACAGGCACACAGACGGGAGACACGAGAAGCAGAAGCTCCCTCGCCCATTACCATTTACTCACTCCCCTAAATACATAATAATGAGCCATTCTTCACATAAGCTTGCAGCATAAACCTGCTTCTGATACTATTTTTAACATGGTGTGTGAGGAAAGAACTAAAGCTGGTTTCCATAGTAGCGAGACGGAGGCACAGTGTATAAAGTAGACCTCACGTGAGAACTATCAAGATCAGAGAGCTGTCACTTGGTGTGTCCTAATCAGCAGCTAAGGGACTCCTGCTCTCAACATTCTGCACATGGTCTTCCAGAGCACGGTGTGAACGGCCGGAGGCCCGACGGTGTTAGGGTCCCTCGGGCACAGTTCTGCCGGAAGCTGTTCACTCCCAGTAACTCAAGGACTTACCTTCCCAATATTTCCAGTAATTCTGCTATGCCATTGTGGTGTTCTGTTTCATAAATAAACCTAGAGAAAATGATTTAGCAATTAGATTCGGACATGGAAATGACAGCTGACAAGTCTGAAATTTTCTAATAGTGCTTTCAGAAGGAATTTAAAAAATACACCAAAACCCAGTAAGATAAAAATGGCATCAACGTGTAAAGCCCCCCACACCCCTGTCAAGTGTGTGGCACCGAGTGTGTGGCACCATGGTGGCCCTGAGGCGGGACACTGTGCCAATGATAGTTCTGTCCATTTTTTATTTTATTTGCATATAATCGCTCGCTGTTGTTATTGTTGTTGAGTAATGACAGGTCAGAACTAACCCGCAGCTGACCCTCCAGTGAGTTCGCAGGGGCCGTTACTCACACAGGAGGGGACAGGCCATCTTTCTCTCTCAGAACAACTGGTGGATCTGAACCTCATGGCCTTAGGTTAACAGCACAGCTCCTTTCCACTGGACCACCAGAGCTCCAAGCTAGTCCCTCCCAGTGGACAGGCTTCAGTGGAGCTTTGAGACTAAGACACATGAGGAAGAAGGACGTGGTGATGGTCTCTTTAAAAAGACAACTGACAGTGGAAACACACATGAAGAGGCACTAATAGTTACTGGTGTGGGAGTATGACAAGTTGGAAGCAAAGGAATGATAGTTGGAGGTGTGGCCTTGGTGATGGGATCGCCACCAGAAACTGCATCACACAATGTTGCAAGACTAATGACTTAATTCACGGCAAGTGTCTTTTCAACAGCTTAAATGGTGACTATTACCCAGACTTAGCCAGGCGGGACTCACAGGAACCAAAGAACTACATCTTTGGAAGGAGATGGCAGAGCAGCTCAGCACTGGTCGACTGCGGAAAAGATCATTAATTGCTTATATGCAAATTCAAAGTCAAGTTGGAGACCATGAGAGCCGAAGTATGACTGAGAATTTAGAGATCTCAAGAACAGACTTTTTAAGAGGCATAAACACAGGTTATATACCTGGATTTCACCTGATGGCATGCATAGGAATCAGATCGATTACATATGTGGAAAGAACCGCTGGAGAAG